CTTATCACATCGAAGCAGCGTTCGCGCTGTCTCAGAATTTGTAACATGGCCTTCTTGATCGCAGGATCTGACCTTGAGGAGCCTAAAATTCCTTATCCTAAAGACTAATAGAAAACGTTTTGCAAGAGCATCAACTTTTCGGCATCGATACGTGAGCCAGCACATATTAAAACAAATTCGCAAACCCGGATATGAATGAATTCAATTTAAACTAGTATTCAACAGTCTGACAATTTGTCGGGAATGGCCTCATCCTCTATTCCAGATTACTGAATCTGCAAGCAAAAAATCCATTGTACTGCTGGGCGGCACAAGCCATTGGGCAGCAGTCAAATGCGGAAATATTGAAAACAACATTGAAAACATTGTAATAACGGCCTAACCATTCTTATTGCTTGAAAAATGCCTGTTCTGATATTCATTCGTTGACTGTGGCCATTCGAAAGGCGAAAGTCAAGGCAATACCGGCTCGACAAATTGGTAAGAAACGAGCGGCAGGTTTCCCATCATTGTCATCGGTATAAATACAATATTGTCAAATAGTCATGCATCTAAACTTGTGCGGACGTTTATGAAAAAAGCGCTACTTTATAAAATTGATTTCTTAGCTTTGACCGTGTTTTACGGCATCCCTTCATCTAACTTATTGTTAACTGAGCGCGGGCAGTCGATTTATTCTATTTAAATTTCCAACTTCCCTTTCTAGCATAGTTCATGCGCAATATAGCCAAATCAACAACTTGCGGAGCTGCTGCAGTGTCATCGACTTCCTCAGACAGCAAAAATCGACTTGCCGTGTCGTTCATTCAGCTGAAGTCATCGGGATACGATTTGTTGATCGTTAACGGTTGAAAGCAAAGGTGGAAAAGGGAACGCGCAGATCCAACACTCCATTAGCGCTCACTTCAGATGCCTCGCCGATCAAAGCGCTAGCTCTTGAGGCAAGCGCATCAAATCTGTTCCCAAGTACCTCCAGGGACATCTGCTATCTTACATAAGCAGCTATTTGTTTGTGAATAATCATTGAATGTATCCTTACATTAACATTCAATTACTTCTACTCAACAGCAAAACGATACTTTTAGTAAAAAAAAAAAAAACTTCAAAAAGCCCATTCTTAGAAAATGCATAATTTGTTTCGGGGTGCAAACTAATTATGCTGCGAATATATTAAACTTCCCAACATGATAAATATTGACGAACTGTAATAGTGTTGTGTATGTCGTTGTTGTTGTAGTTCACTTCGAAGGCACCTTCCTTGAATTCAAAAAATATAATCATTACTTCATATAGTATCATAATTTATTGGCTGTGTTAACGACTTCAGTGTTAGCTTTTTGTTGTCAGTAGCCTTCATGCGATTGTCAAGCTATTTGTAATCTACATAAATCTTCATGAAACCATTGAAGTCGATCGAAAATCAGAGACAAAGCCTTTTACCAATTACAGAATCACTTAAGGGTCGCTCTGATACACTCTAGTACAGTGGTTCTTCGGCTAACTAATAAGAAGGGCAACATAGAATTTCTCCACGACCAACGTTCTAATGCGTAAAAATCGACTATAACAGAAATTCAGAGCTAGCTTACAAATCGGGTGGACGTTAAGGAAATAACAAGCTTGATGACATAATAGCTAATCAACAAACCAACGAGGGCTCCAACTGGATGCTAGTTTCATGAAGGCTTAACTATATGTAGCACAGAGTGCACTCATCATGACGTCGTATCCAGAACAGACGCCAATGGCAAACCTGCAAGGTTCCTCCTGTGTCTGGTCTACTGCACCTGCTGTGAACCCTACTTCTGCAGCTGTTCTGTGCCCGTTTGAACACGTGCATATGGTACGTGTCCACGTGTCGCACTATCAGCGACGAGCCCGTGGCGGCAGTCGACGAGCCTAGATCGTTTAAAACCGACATTGTCACCGCTGAAGCTCAAGCACTATTCAACTTCTAGCTGACCGCGACAGCGATGTACTGGAATATCGTTTTACGGCAACCAATACATTTATACTGTGTGTACACAATGTATACGGAACAGCAGAAATGTCAAAGACAACTCTAGTTACTGAGCATTGTAGCATTATCGTACAAGTGAACAATACTTGCCGAACCTAACTCAGGGAAAGCAAGTAGCGTTTTTTTTTACTGCTTTCCTTACACAATAAGCTACGTAGATTGACGACCTAACAAACTGAGGTTTAAAAAGATGATTATCTATTTATTAAAATTAGTTCCATATATATAGTGGCTCAGTTTACGGGCATTGTCATGTATGTTTTCTTCTTTACTTAGGTAAAAGACTCGTAATGACCCAACAGAGGTACCCATTACGATTCTGTCTGATCACGGACTAGAACTTCGGCGGATCAGGTGCTCCCATGTGTCCCCATTATAACATACCGAAGATCTTAAAAATACACACCTGAAGCGCATGATCAGGACACTTTATCGACGAAAAACGATGCCAGCTTTTTTATTAGCTTAAATTTAACGTCTGAATCAAAACCATCAGTTAATCATCATAAACGTTGAAGTTCAAGCCTTGTTATTTGCGCTAATACACTACGCTTACCTACGTATGCATTCGTGAGTTTCCATCAGTTCATTACCTTAACATATCTGAATATTTGAAATAGATACTTATAATAAGACGATAGGTGTCATTAGATCATAAAAGGAATAATAGATAGCCTGAGTAGCGTTGAATGAAACGTAATAACTCCAGGTTGCGGTAGCCGGTTGTCGTAATCGTGCAGTAATAGTGTGCTAGGCTACTAAAATTTTTCCCGGGTAACGTATTTACCTGTTAATTTTAGGAACACCTTGTGGTCTAGGTTCGAACCTGGGCATGAATAGACAGATTTAGATTTAAAACTGCGTATCTAACGGTAACCGGACGTAAAATTGGGAATACTTTCGTTTCGAAGTTGAGCATGGCTTTCTTGTTTCTGGGATGACGGTGAACGTACGAGGAGTTATATAATATAGATTTCATTATTAAACAGAAAGCCGACGTCTAACCATTGTCCCCACGAAGCTAAACACTAGGGTGTCTCAAAGCGGACCACCTCACGAGGAGCATCACGAGAGTCGAGTAAACTTCTGTGACGCAGGACGCAAAAGGGCTCTGTAAAGCATGACATAGGGACTGGAGTAGTAATTACGTTATTAAAAATTGTGGGTTCTAGCCATTACGAACCCTAAGTAAGTTGGTTGGTATCCGCTCCAACAAAATTCATATATATGCTAGCATTCGAAAATTCCAATCGGAAATGCTGCAATACGACTACATGCCACTTGCAAAATTTTTTTTCAAAAAGAAGAAAAGAGAAGCAAGACGCTGTCTCTTGCTCTAACGTGTAACGTTGATCGTCGTGTAAAAGACTCGACATCAGAACGAACCTCTCATGGAAAACAAAATAATTGCTTTTGTAAAGTGCTACCTTGGTAAGCAGTTTCTTCCGTTTAAGTATTTTTGCCAAGAAATTATTTGTACGAAAACTATTTGATCGTTTTTAGCAAGTGCACGTTATATCAATCTACGGGTACTCAATTTGAGACAACCGCTGAATTGCTCAAGCTAGCATGCGTCACAACAGAAATTTAACTTCATGGTTGATCAATGCAAATTGGATGAATGTTCCAGACACAAAAAGTAGCCCCTGTTCCCACAGATTTTACCTGAAATTTAAACCCAAAAATCGAAATAAAAATAAAAGGTCTTCGAGTCAGGACTTTAAACTATAAATATTATTACTATTGAGAAAGATATGCATTTTGCAGTTAGTGTGACAATAAATAACTTTCTTTAGCTAGGCTGTGTAGTACGCGTCGTTGGCGGGACTTGAACCAAAGACCACCGCTCACGTTTATCGAGAACATAAAGACATGAAATATCGCCTTTATCCTTTACTTTTCCCGAGTTATTGGCTTCCCTTTGAAAATCTTCCAGAAAATTATTCTTTGCTGAAAAAGACGCTATATGGGCAGGGTGCTTGCTTCGAAACCCGGAGAGTATATAATTGAAACTAACGCGAGCCATCCTCAAGCTGGTTCTTGGTTTCTCCGATCCAATTCAGATAGACCTTGATTACGATAGCAAGTTTCAACCCGTAAAAAAGCAGCAGATTTATAGCATATTTATAAGTGCTGCGGTAACATTGTATTGAAGCGGCAAAGAACACTAATTCAAATTCAGTGTTACCACTGCGTATATCTATGAAATTAAGCGACCAAGATTATGGAACAGCCACCGCTAGAAGCGATAAATACAGAAAGTTAACTAGTGGCTTCCAAAAATTCTGCACAGAACATAATCTATGATATCTGCAATGATTACCCTGCAATGATGCTCAAAATTAAATTGTGAAATATGCTTTCTCCCATTGCAGTTTCTTCCTTTCAGTGGCTAGGTAGAAAAGTAATGAGGAATAATACTGCCTGTGTGACTACATATTACCCAAACACTGACACTACGTTAAGTTCCAAACAAAAATATTCCACTGAACCAGTAGGTATCCAGACAGATATCCAGCACGCCAGGAGCGAGTCTTGAATGTTGGCGCCAAAATTGGTCACCGTTACTTGATGATCCGAAATATAGGGGAGTCGCTCCATGACTTTGTTTATGCAAGCAGCGCGCGTTGCGAGAGCGGTCCGTACTAACACAAAAAGCAAATCCATTTTTTTGACAGGGCGTCACTAGTTACGTTATGCTGGTTGCATATGCTCGCTTGTTAGTATGTGTCGTAATAGCGTCAGATTTATGGATGGAGGCAGAACGTTCAAGCTAGATATCAACATGGGCTTCTGGAAAGTTTTCTGAGGGAAATATTGGTTTACGTTTCACTTTACTGTACTTGATGATGGCATTTGAAGGCAACGATCTCGAGCTTGTTGTAGTATATTGAACGATACCTTGAGGAAGCTTCACTTTTGCGCGCCTTTTTTCACTCGTCATTCAATAAATGATTGAAGTATAATCAAACACGCGTACCTGATCTAGACGAGAGGTGAAGCGAGTACCTAGATGGTGCTGCCATATTTAGTTTATGGTATTTGTGCACTCCGAACTGAACTGGTCACTGTCTCCACAGACACACGAAGACACTTTACAAGGAGTCGTTTTCTTCAAGAAGGTCGATTTCACATAGACGAGACACCGAATATTTGTGAATACAAACTCATTTGTTTATTGCTGATCGAAATCCAGTCATTTTAATGTCGCCTCATAACAACCACACAAAGTAATCCAAATTCATAAGCGACAATAACGCAGGTTTTGTTTGGCTTCAAGAACTGCTAAAGTATTGTCACAACCTGCTTAACTGTGGTACGGTCACTGAAGAATACAGGAGGAACAGCTTGACTCTGTTTCCTCACCGACCATTAGCTGGTCGATATCGATACTGTGATTAGATGAGTATCAAACCCTTTATGAAAGCCGGTGAAGTATACGGTGGCTGTAGCCCGATACGAACTTCACAGTGGCCGAGAACACTCTGTGGGTAAAACACCAAGCCAGCCTGTCTTCATCTTGTCTCCGTTCGCCCAACCACCAGCTGAAGTTGGGCGAAGTCAAGGCGTGCTTGACAATGGCGGCGGTCCCAGATGGCGACCACAGCGCCCCTGCTAACGAAGACAGTATCATGCGAAACAGACCCTTTCCACTTTCATTCTGTCTTCATCATTTCCGCCACTTGGGCTCGCACCGTGTGCGCAATGATTCCACTAGATCCGAAAGAAACGCGCGATATAACCGCCACATTTCTACGATGATAGAATCTTCAAGACCTAGTCGGCAACTTTGAAACCTTAGCTAAAAATTGTGCCTTTTATGAATACTTTGTCTTTATTCTAAACTTATCAACTCGTGCACTTCTGGTAGGTTCTCGAAACAAGGACATACGCTAAAGTGCCATTATGTATCTGACATTTGACATGATTATGACAGAGATATATTTGCTATTAGGCCTCGGGGATTATCTTCGGGGTCGAACCAAGGAAGCGAAAATGAAAAAAAAAAATAACAACAATAAAATCGTATTCACTCCATACTCACAACCATTTAAGTGTCTGTAAGCCAGCAAAAGTATATACTCATTCGGAGAAACTGCAGCTTTGTAGGCTAAAGACTTTGATCCTTATTAACATTCATTGAACGAGTGTTGTTAATAATAAAAACATGTCAAACATGCGTACAATTTTCACAATAAAACGTATTTATGAGTTTCGACATATGAGTAGGAAACGTTTAGTTAACCCTATTTGGACTTTATTATTATCATTAATTTGGAAGCGAGAATTCTGCAGTGCCAGAAGCGGACTAAAATGATGATGACTAATATATTTATAAGGTAATGGTATTGAAAGCTCTAGCTATGTGCCCAGGATGCGCCAAAGTCTGAGGTTAGTTCTCGAGAAAGATGGCTAAGGTAAAAGAGGGTATTTGGCTACGCATTTTCAGAATTCTACCAGTTTTCGGTTACTTGCTTGTTAAGCTACACTATCTGTGTATGCGAGCTTTCCGTAATTAACCTTAAAGGAGTCCCCTTATTAACACTTTTTTAAAAAAGCTGTACTGTGAAATCAAAAACTAAAGCCTAGGACGTACGAAACTGATGCGGGAGACGGGGGTGTAGGCTTACTGCAATCTCATTGAAACAAGTATACCGATTCAAGTTCTATCAAATGTTACTGGCTCTATATTTGGATTGTTGTTGCTTTACATAACATGTTAAGTGTTAGTGAAGATGTGTAGCTCTATGGGAAATTAGCTGAAATTTAACTGTCATTTAAGCAACGCATTTTATGTTCTGCAACTACATATTTACCTTTATTCAGAAACGTTAGAGATAGAAATTAATCTGGAAAGTATGACGTGAAAAAATCTTAGTTATCAGTTAAAATTCTATAATATAGGTAAGCCTCTGGCCTATTTGAGCTCATCTGGAAATTCCACACATCGTCAAATTTTATCGATACTAAATACTTTTGTTTTTTTTTTGTGAAAAACTAGACGAAGGATTAAAGAAACTATTGTAAACTTACTGAAGCTAATGTGGTTTGTAGTAGTATTCAATAGTAAAGTACGATCATCATTGCTCCTTGGTTTAATATGCTCCGAATGCACTTTTGTACCATCTTCGTTATGCCTGGATCCTGCCATACTTCGAGTACCGTATTATTTAAATGATGAAACGTTTCATATTTTCGTCGCCTCCGATTCGCCTTTTCGCATAATTCTACAGGTTTTCGAGCGGATTCATGTCGGGCAACTTTGTAGGCCATGATAGAACCTTAACACCATTAGCGACACACACCTTTAAGGACACTTTGCCGTATGGCGCAGTGAGTTTTCATACGTGAGCACATAGTTTTCGCCTGAACACCGTTGTTGTACTTCAGGCAGTATTTTTCTTTTGAATTACCCCACTGTATTGTCGTTTTGTTTCCATAATCCTACTAACAAAAATAGAGATTCTCTAGCCTGAATAGAAATCACGATATTTTGTTCAGATTTTTGATTCGCTAAACTATACGGGCTTGTGGAATCTTTCGCCAAAAGGCCAATAGAAATGTTCAGTAACTATACGAAATCTCAAAATGCAATTCACCTAAAAAAACCCTTCCACAGTCTTCAATATTTCAATGTTAAAACTATTTAGTCCATTCGATAGACGTATACGTCTTCTTGTTGTGGTAGGACGTCAGTAGCTTGTTATAAACATGGTGACTCAGCGCTCTGACACTCTCTAATGCAACCGAGAAATCGTTGGAGACAATCGTTTTGTAGCTTGCTTAGAATGGCCACATCCGATCCCCACTTTGTATTTCCCTTGATGATAGCGACACGTTATCTGTGGTCACAACAAGGTCGCTGTCATTGAATAGATGAGAGCAGCGATAATTGCTTTGAATCTATTAGAAACGGAAAACGGTGAAATCGGGTAGCTAAAGAGTACACGATGGCTTTAATGTTTATATATGCTGTGTAGCACACGGTGCATCTTGCCTTTTACACTGAAAATATCTTTCTAGTGAACACGTCATCACATATGCTGTCCTTGAAAAGCATAGCTTTGACATACAAAAGACACTTACCGATACTGAGCTCGGATGCAGAGATATCCTGCGTCAATTTCTAGGTGGCCTTACTTGATTGGCCTATTACATATGTATATATATATTGGGCAATAAGTATTTTTGTCGCATTTCATCCAGGTTTTTTCGAACTGTATTGACCAACCAGTTCGTTTTTCTATCATGATTTTACTTGTGCTGAAAAAAGTTTCTAAAGGTAAACTAAAGGCAAGTCCCGTTCGATGAAAGTTACTATATCGATTTACGTTACTTGATCGCCCAAAGAGTTATATAAATCAGGTTGAGGTGGGGCGATTGGGTTTTATTGCAGTTTTGGGCATCTATGAAGCAGGATGCCGTCAATGCTGATTCTACAGAGAATTTGAAAAGAGAAACGCGTATATGCGTACATATGTCAGTTAAAGCCAAGGAATCTATTTTTGCACCTTTTGAACTACATGTCGTTGCTGCCAACAACGTACTACATATGATTGCTTTTGAATGAAATTTTATCGGCATAACAGAGCACCAAAAGTCACCATGACAATTTATAGATGCGCCAATTAATGACCTGGCTACACAGAACTTCGTCTACATTTATGTTTGACAGTAAAATGTTACAAAGTATCGTCTTTACTAGTCGGAGTAATAGCCCATTTTATAAAGATATTCGTCTCCTAACTTTGTTGAAAGGCTGACTTCTTTGCGCGACGCCATTAGCTGCTCATCTGGTCTCACCTCCGCGTCACATGATTTCATCCGGTTGGGTTAAGTGATATATTTAATTGACATTCTTTTAAAGTGAATGAGTGGTAGTGATTTAGGCCACACAATGGAAAAAGTCTTCACTGAGTTTAGTGGTAGATTTTCTCTTTCCTGTGGAACCGGTCGTTTTCAATAGCGTTAAGCAAGTTTTGACCCATATTGAGCCTCCCTTCTCTATATTAAAAAAAGAAAATAAAAATAAACACCTAAAATAAATCAGAAAAAAGATTTTTCAAACAATTAAACGTTCACTGACTTCTTAGACGCTTGCGAAAGTTTCGTAATATACTGCACAAATTGTTTCATAAACATATGATTGCCTTTGTTTTCGGGCCAAACCTCGTAGCCAATATTTGGACAGATTACGTTAAAAGTGTACAGCGGTAAGTATTAGGGAAGACCAAAATGATTTAAGCTTATAAGCTAGCAAGTTAATAACTCGCAAGGCCTACCATGTAGATAATAATAATAACTAGCCAATGTTTCGATTCGTTTGAAAGCGCTTGTTATTATTATTTAGACTTGATTGATTTTATGTTGACACTATGTGAGATATCGTGTCGGATCAGTGTGTCTATATCATCAGCTTTGTTTGTTGCCGTTCGCCTGCTAATTTCCTATCTGTTGGTGAATTAAACCTTCATGTGAAGATTAATATTTACATCACAGATCCTTAACGATCCAGAAATTGGATACGATAGAACGACTTAGTCGTAAATGTTGTCTCTTTTTGTTTACTCCGTTGCCTCATATATAATCGCTTTTACATTCGATGGCAAACGTGTACCGTACGAGTGATGTAAGAATGACTTGCCGTTTTGGAACATTACGGCAACGTATAGAACCGGACGGCTGAACTACAGACGTTAAATGAAATCGATGGGAATTAAGTTGAATCATTATATATATGTTATAAAGTCACGATGAAAATTAAACACGATAAAAGACAATTGTCAGCTCCACAATCATGCAAACTGTGAATTGTAGTAATGTCGAAATTAGGCAAACGATTACCAAGTAATATTATAGCAACAATATTAATTCAGCAAGCGATTCGGTTCCGTCTCGATCATACTATGTTTGTAAAGTTACCGGACAGGGGTAAAACGGGGGGATAAAGGTAAAAGGTTCGACAAACGAAAAAAGTTCGCCAACACATCAACGACCGTAGACAAATGCCGCGACGTCAGAGACAATTCGCAAGAGAAACAAAAGCTAACTGAAATCGGAAGAAAAAGGACTAACAATTAAACCTAACAAAACCGGTAATAAGTGTAGACAAATAACGATTCGGCCCGTCCTCGTAAGCCCCGTTTACTATACGGCAATGCCACAGCAGAATTGACCGTACGATTACTTGATAAAGCCTCAAGTTATTCACATAAATTAAAAAAAAAATCACATGAATTCGAAGGATTACAAAGACTCAAATCCCCACAATGACGATGGTGGTACCTTTTGCGATGGTTAAATGCTGATTAGGACTAACGAAAAATGTAGTGCTTGCACAAAATTGATACATTTTTTAATTGCCATCTATGACAATCATGCGCAATTTTCATAGAAGTTTGATGTACAACTCTAGATTAACCTGCCACAAATATTACGAATATCACATATACTTCTGCTTTTCCGTTCGCCCGTTCACCCTGGGTTACCTTTTAACTTTTTTGCTCTGGTAGGTTATAATCAGGTGCCTAGTCACAAATATTACTTTTATTATTTTAGGGCGGACATGAAGGAAGCAATCACATAGAAAAAAATCAAATATTGTAAGATGCGTTTATTTCGGACTGATCATGGCTCCATATTCAAAATCTAAGTCTGATGCTTTAAAGTGAAGCGGACAACTTTTGACTGAGTCTAAAATCACCTCAAATGAGCTCGGCAGACGCTAAGGTTTTTCTACTTTGTGTACAAAAATATTTAAGGAAATTGAAAAAAAAAGAGGGGTATCAAAGCTGTTGTACGAACAAGATCTATAATGAATTAAGCAATCGCGTAGACTATCCTGGATTCTAGGTCTTTTCTTCGATAAACAAATATTGCCTTTAAGGCCTAAGGTTTTGGGTGAAATTCTTCAACAACTTACGGAACAAAAAAGCTGTTATGTAAATCGTTGATAAAAAAAAAAAAAGAAAAAAAAAACACAGAATCTGAAAGGTTTTACATAATTCAGCACCAAAAGCAGACTTGAACTTAAAACGAAAAGCCAGAGGACTGATCTCAATAAAACCCCTGCTTTAATCGTATACAGTAATTTGTAATGCTACTGACGGTGCTAGAATTGTACTCAACGTACACTTAGTACTCAACGACGCTGTTCAGCTAGACGTTTTAATAGTATGCCATCTATATGCTGTGTTTACTTGGGACCCTTCTGGTTGACCAGTTTGGCAGATGTTGTCGGTTTTTCGCCATGGAATCAGCGGCTTCAGTTGATTTTGTTCCGCCTTTCTTTAACGCGTTACATCCTCTATTTCTTTTGATTTATCATTAAAACTTACCGAGTACTTTCAATCGAGCGTTTCCTTCCATATTCTATTAAAACCTTCTCAGTATTCAGGCTGACGGCGTCCCCTCCTCTTCCGAATGTACGTTCTTATGCACATATCGTCGTCGTATTCGTGGAATAATTTGGTCTTTTTTGTATTGTACTCGTACCTGGAACGGATCGCTACAAAAAAAAAGAGGGAACAATCGAATATCTTTTCGTTTATGCTAAAAGACGTTAAATGTAATGATCCCCTTTAGGAAAGTATAAATGAACAGAATTACATTTACAGAAGTGTATCTATTCTGGACGCACCAGTCCATATATAATATATATATATGTGTGTGTGTGTGTGTGTGTGTGTGTGTGTGTACGTGTTTCTGTATTGATAGGCCATTCATGACACGGCATTGTAGCTACGCGTAATGTTCGTGTCGTGTTTTGTCGAAGCTTCAAGCCGATAGAGTCACAGTCATTTATTCAACATAGATTTTGCTTACTAGGAAGTACAAATGGGGGGAACATCACTTTAAATTCGAGAAAGATAAAAAAAAAAACTGTAGATCGATGATGCTATCATCAGCAAATGTCATCGGGTATTTTCTTATTTTTTTTTCAAGCTTTGCTTTGGTATATTGTAGGTGTTATCGTAATCGGTATTCCGTTTTTCAATTACCATTGTTTACTTCTGTGTTTATTAAATAGAAATACTCTTCGCTTCTGCCAGCTTCTTGGCATCTTTCCTTCGGCAAATATGTGGTTAAAAACTATTGCGTTCATTACACCTTCTGTTGTCCGATCTAGCCGATGTGCAATGTTTTGTTTCATCTCTACGACGGCTCTTCCAGGTACTGCTTACATTTACGAACGCCATAATCTCGGTGCTCATTCGCGAAAGGCAATATTTCTTTAGCTTCGTTTATCTCGATTATATATATGCACGAGCTTTTTGCACGTGCGGGAAAAGTAATTCCTGGCATTAATGGCTATTCAATATCGTAACTTTTTACAGCTTCAACTTGAAACTTAAACCCCTAATGTTCTTTAACCTTCTTAAATCAGCAAATACATTTTAATAGTGTATAGCATCAAGCGCTATTCGTAAACGTAAATTTGCCAGAATGCACTATATACAAAAAATATTACCAGTATTACAGTTTGGACTTATAGAAGGTTAAAAACCCCTAAAAATGCGCGAGCTCAAAACGGCCAAAAGGTTCAAAGGGGTAAGAAATGCACACCTCGGTAAGGTGGAGCAAAATCATTGTAAAAATGCAGTAACATGTCGTATTTAGATGGTATTCTAATTTTTTCAAGCTGATAAAACAGTGATAACGCGTAGTGTCGATTCTCGTGTCACCGATTGAGACTGACTGACTCATTGTTGAATTCGGCCTGGTTTGTACGAATATTTCACGAAGCACAACAAGCCCGAACGGATTGCTCTGTACCTTTATACTAGGTTACAAATCGATACGAGCCTTGAGCAGATCGATTTTTGAGGAACAGACACCTATAGGAGACGCAGTTCCTGAGTCTACTTATTTATCGTGATCACTGTCTTGTTCTGCTGTTCCCTTCAAATGTTCTATCGCTAACTGGATCCAATAGACGTATCGGATTATATCCAGATCTGTACACTAATCTGTAACGCTTCCATTCAAAGTGAAATCCATTTTTTGTATATCGCAGACGAACTTAAAATTGGTATGAGAGATAACAAAACAGTCAGAAAGAGCGATGCGTGCTTTCGTTACGTGAGATTAATATTGGCCTCGTTTTGCTAAATCCTCTTACTATTTACATGTATCTTATTTTAGCAGCGGAGCTTTCTCTGTCAGTATTCAGGAAATATAATTTCCTGGGTAATCTGTAGCTTATATTCAAATATATTTTGTTTAGATTCAAATATTGTTTACAGAAAAATTGACGGACAGCAAGCCATACCAATCTGCCGCTTCGCAGCCTTCCGACGACGACGATCAAGAGATAGCTCTGTATTTAGAATTACTAAACGATTTCCCAGTCAGCCTCTAGCATAACCAAAATAGGCCAAGCAATATGGAGTAATTTAGGATGCAATAGGTGTATAATCAATATAGCGCTATTACAAAGTAATTAATTTAAATTCAGTGAAATTTTCGGCTGAGGCCGAATGTTCAACTTCAGTGTTCTCCTAGGCTTACCGTTGCAATTGAACTATTCTGATTATGGACGATGCTAACAATTCAATGTGATTCCATTGTTGATGACTAAAGCTAGCCACTGGCATCATGGCTGTACGTATAGCGTAACTGTCTCTCTAAAGATCTAAATTAGAAAATATAGGACACGATTTATAGCCTTAAATACAAAAATGTGTCTAGTTCCCGTTCATTTTCGTTTTATTGATTCTTCATTGTTTATCATAGTCACTACCGAGGATCAGCGTATCTTATTAACATAGTATATTATTTTTTTGCTCTTGTAATTTTACCGCTGCTTGCAATGGAACATGATTTATTTACTTCTGTATAGATTCCAATATAATCTCTCACGTCCTTTAAAATTATGGATTATATCACCACGTCATCAACAGAACGGACATCTTCGACGCGTTTAAAATGAACCCATTACACTACGAGATTTCAACAGTTGATGTTTGTCGTTGTGTCAGGAGACGCGGTCCTAGCATCACATGTTATCTAGTCCTATTTCTTAGGCAGTCAAGTACACATTGTGCCCGACACAATATCTGACCATGTCCATCTGTGTAAGTAAATACTTTCCACTCATGTTAGAAAGTTACAGGCTTCAAGCACTTTAATGTGATACAATCATTATGAAATGATATGATCATTTTAGTTTCACAGGCAGACATGGCGGCAACAGCGTACTCGTACGGTGACGTGTAGATAAGCTGACAGTGAGTTATTTATTTCTTGGCTATCGAACACGGCGTACTTCATCTACGTCATTTCACGCTTATACCTCCTATCTTAGTAAACATTTATACGTATGTTAACTTAGCCTAAAGCCACTGGCACGGTGATCAGTCGAGAGCGGAAACCTACAGCGGTTATTTTGAATTTACACTTGAATTTATTTGGATAGAGGAATAGCCGTTTGAAGCAGCGTGTTAGGTTTCTCCTCGCTGAAAATCTCAGATTTACTCTTTTTTTTTTTTCTTTTTTTTGTTAAGCCTTGTGTTTCGTCAATATATCTTATTACTGGTCGCTTTGACAGCGTCTCGGACAAATGCTTTCGCATTTTAGAAATCTACGTTTATGTGCTGGTAGGTGCGCACTGTTAGAGATCTTGATGGAAATCTGTTTGCACAATTGCCATATGTCATTAGTCAATTTTAAATCGGCGACAGCGGCGCGCAGAGACTTCAGCCCTTAGAAAAAAATTGGCCAGTTTCATATCTGTAGTCTACAGTACAAACATGTACGATAGTACACTGGACATCCGCGAAGTCGGAGAAGTATTTCGAATGTCTCCGTGTGCGTTTTCACACAGAATAGTGCACCCCACAATGAAATTCAGCAAGGGTAACTGTAGCACCTGTGTTAAAACTGTATATAGCCTAAGTTATTATTCATTATATAGATGCAATTATCTATTTGGTAGGCAGTTTACGAGCTGAACAAAATTACTTATCGTTATTAAATTATTTCTCATATACATCACAATCTAACTATGTTATAAGATAAGACCTCATGCTTACAGTAGAAGGAACCACGTAGTAAAAAGGTTTTTGTCCACAAAAATACTCGTTAGAGTTCGGATCGTATCGGAAGTATTTTTTACAACGCTTAGGTAATGCGTGACTTTAGAAATCATATAATTCAATGCAATTATATTAGGAACAACGGGTCGTTTGGCCAAAACGTCATGTGAGAAATACACATTTCAACCAATGTAGAATTACAATATGTGTCCTATAGAGCAAGTTGTAAAACACGTTGTAAAGCCCGTCAAAGATCTAGTCATATTTTACCGTCAGCCCACTATGGAGTCATGTAAACGCCGTGTGTCTTCAGATCCAGCTATCTACCTGTTTGTCGCGTAGCTTTTTTGCATGATAAATTTCTATATAGCCTCGCATCGTTGCCTTGCTAAGTACAGTAGATAATTACGAAGCACTGGAAAGGTCAAAACAGCAGATAAGCATACTTCTCACTTTGTACGTTTTTCCATATATATATATATATATATATATGATTTACAGGTATAAACACACCCCACGCGCATGAGCTCACGACGTTCTGGTTCTACATGTGAAAATCTACGCTCTCGCAATCATTCTTTAGGGCTGCGCGTTGGAACACGTTTAGTCAATGATACGCACTCAAAACGAATTCGATATTGAGAATAAGCTCCAAGCCGAAATCACTATCTTGAGAATTTACGATTGTCTATAGGCAAACTTCGAGTCACCGAGATGTCGACGACTCGTAGAACAGGACACCATTCAATACGGTGGGTAACAGCGCGGCAAGCAATACTGTCAAATATGCAGCTACGCTGGCTCTACTATACGCGTGCCCGTAGCAGCCGAACCAAAATTGTACGATCGATCCGGAGTCATTGAAGATTGACATCCTTTTGTCGTGGAACCGCCAAAAGCGACGTCCTTTGAAGAAGTACGTGGACTCTATAAGCAAAGTAAATAGACGGTAATTAAACTGTCGAAATTTTCGGATACTGTCCGCATATAGGATAGCGGATAACATCATTGTTATATTATTTTGGCAAAGTAAATCATACCTCTTCTCAACGCCATATTCGATGTAAAAGTAACATTGTTTATGTCAGATCGGAGTAAGAAACGGGTAAGGGCGTCTATTGACTTCTGTTATTATTTGCATGCATAGTCGTAATAATGGTCAGTATATTCATTATCTGGGGCTTTGTGGACAATTCGATCTCATGAATCAAACGGATAAAATAGACTGTGTACAGTATTTGTCAATACAAAATGTAATACATTAAACTTTTTTAAATGATAAATTCGAAACTTACGATCGGTCCACGTAAAGGCAGCATCAAGATTTGGAGGAACACCACCCCAGCTTCGTATATGACGCGGATAGTCGGGCTCGACCTACGAAAGGACGTTATATAACGTACGGGCTATATGCATAGAGTTGATCAATTCAACATTCACGTAGTTTATCTAGCCGAAACCAGAATTTTCGCTCTGAGCTCTGGACCAATCAATCCTTTCTGTTAAAGCGAATGAGTCGACAAGCAGAGTTGCAGTAGCAACGCGCCTCTGTTCCGATAAAATTAACTTACCCTTCCATCGTATTCATCGAATCGCCAATACAAGTTTTCGTGAAAGAAGTAGATCTTCTGGTTGTAGCCCCATATAAACGCAGCATCGATCTTACTGATGTTCAAAGGGAGTCCAAGCGAAGAGATCGGAAGAGGGTAACCGGGCTTCAATGTTTGCCCTTGGAAGACATATAACTCCTAGAACGAAGAAACACAAAATCAGTCTTAACATTTCGACTGAAGTTCGTTCGATTGAAGTTAGAGCAAGACTCTATCCCGCGCTTTGTTAAACCGATTTACATAGACAAGCTATCCACTGGAAGTATGACAATAAGAAATTTTAATTTTAACTTATTTTAAGACATCCGTACCCGTCCGATAAAGAAATGAATTTCTCCGCGACGATTTTCGTAGACAGCGTCAACAGTTACGTCCCGTCCCTCCGAAGTTTCCGTAGGAAAGCCACGGAACAGCCGACTCACCTCAAATGCGTGCGAGCTCATTATCTGAAGGTCGTTGTTTAGACGAAAGAAGTATTTACCTGTAGCAGTGATGAATGATTAAATAAAGCTTGCTAGTTACGGAAAAAGGACATCACCTTAGTTCGAGGAAAGCCGTAATGAGATCACGATTCACGAAGGGCTCACGAACTATAAAGGCCGTCAGTGTTATTTTAAAGGGTGATATTTCAACTAATAGTAGTATCCCTAGCAAAGATGAGGACGAAATTAATCGATAAAGCGTGCTTAAGCAACAGTTTCGAATTGTTAAAGTATTATATATTTTTCCTAAGTAAAAATAGATTCTTTTTGCTATCTCGAACCTTTAAAAATAAACGTTTCTCCTCGAATGATTGAAATCGCGTCAATGCTATCCACAGCGCACGGTTCCGGTGGCTGCTCCCTTGGACTGATGAAAACTTCTCCACGTCGCGTCGTCGTTGCCATCAGCGGACGTCGGGTTGTCACATAATAACGTGCTGAAGAATCGACAGCCCGCTCCGGACGACCTATACAAATAATTAAGGCCAGCCAGATAAATCATCATGGAACATATATGTAATGATATTAGATCAAGTAGAGTTGTGATAAAGGTGCCGGTCATCGAAACAGTTGGGTTTTTTTTTCTTAAACTAGCAAATAGACATTGACCGCGTTGGTCTACATACGTTCGTATTCAGCTACGCATCGCATAATTGACTTGGGTTTGCATTTTCAAGTATCAGAAATATAAACAAGAATTCCTTGGGTCAAGAAGATGAGGAGGAGGACCATATGCGATACCTGTCTCGCCAATGAGCTTAGCATGTAAATCAATAATAATAATATTACCTAACACCAGATAACGCAGTACGAGAATAGTAGTTTACCGTTCAATTTTAAAAGCGATTATGATTACTGCAGTGACTAACTGGCGATCATCCCAAATATGTTACAGATGTTTGTAACGAAACTGGCAATAAAAATACCTAGCATGCGTCGCTTAGGTAAGTCTGTTGCCGTCATACCGTATAGATGCTGTATGCCTTGGATATCATCTTGAGGTAGCACAAACGAATTCTCCGTGAAGTGTGGACTATCCTGGTACCAAGGGTACATAAGCGATGAAGGCTCAGATACGTGAGCCAAACCCATCGAATGGCCGAACTCATGGGCACCGGCAACAAATAGTTCCACCCCTAAACAAAACCAGAATTAGAACATGCATGGTAACATTGTCTTTGAAGGTAGTCTAGCGAAAGGACAATTTTGAAAAATATAAACGGTAGTTAGAGCTCAATGAACGTGTGTTTTCATTTCGATTCTGTTACTGAAGGAAGCTCTCCTATTTATAAGGTGTTTATTCAATTTTCTACCATAGTCATCATTATCACCATCAAAAAACCAACAACAAAAGATCACAGATTTCCCCTGACGGTGGACGTTAGCTTGCGACAACGTCCACACTCTCGAAAGATCAATAAGACTAAAAATACAAAAGGTTAACATAAACGGCAAAGGATTTTAATTTCTTGGCATCGATATAAAGTAGATATTATGTTGGCTCTTGACTGTCACTTGTGCTTTCAAAACAGATATAAAGTTGACGCTATAATATGAAAGATATTGTTTACCTAAGATTGGTATAGGTTTTGGGAGGATTCGACAAAAACGTGGTAGAAAAAAATTGTGAAGTCAGACGATGCTACGAAATTAAGTTACTTTCATCTCTAGACGGGAACAGAGAGCTTTGTGGGTGTCTATTTTATGCAATGTAATGCGTAAAAATGAATCAGTAATTTATAACAACAGAAACCATGCAGACCAAATATAACCAATATTCCAAAATATGACATGCTAACCATCCTTCGCTTTACAATAATAATAGGTAGTAATAATAATAGCAATTATCCAAAAATGATTGATCAATTCTTTGAAACGTGTTAGCGACAAAAGTGTAACCCTGCTGTTTTAAAATTTACCCAGAGTCGCCATATTGCCTCCCCAATTCTCGTCGGCGTCGAAGTGTACGTCACCTCCAATATCGTTGCCAGGAAAATAGGCGTGTGCCAGAACCATTCCCGGGCCGTCGAATGGGTACGCATCGCCATGGCGCCCCTGCGGATCAGCCCACAAATATAGAGCAACAAAAACAATGGAAGCTAAATTGAATCGGGCTATTTTTACTTGCCTCCGCGAACTCTGAATGGGTTGGGAGGTTCGTTTGCCTCGGACGGGATTTGCCTAATATAGTTTATTCTCAGAAATGTCGCCTCCCGGACCGCACAAGTTTTTTTTTGTGTTGATCTAAGGGCTTAAGCGTGTCCAAGTCAACAATCAGAAGTGCAAAGAGGAAATTTACCGTCTAACTTTGTAGACCAAAGGTAGAACTGAATTCGTTGTTTAGGACAACGAGTTCTTCTACACGTGCGATAAGATGAGCGGTTTGCGACGTGGAAATGATACGATATTTGGTAAGTCATATAAGTGCATCGTTGCTACTTCCACGGTTTTCGAATACGTATTCCTTCTATTCGTAAGTTAGCTTGGGTAATGTGATTTTTACCTTCAAGAACTTGACGAGAATATCAGCTTTTACGTCCCGAGTCTCCGTGAATACGAGTCGTGAATGCCTTGACCATACATTAATTGCCTGTTGGCAATTAACGCGAGCGAAAGGAGAAATATTGAACTAGCGGTCTCAGTACCATATCTAACACGTGAGATATTACGTCTCAAAGGTAATGGGTTCTGAATTTTACGGTATTGATATTGGGTAAATCTCGTCTATTACTGCCTATAATATCTTGAAATTCGTTGAAATGAACTCTATTCAGTACGCATGTAATTGTAACGTAATTGGAGTTTCTTTTAATTCTCGCTTTTGTCGCATCCTTAGCCATGATAATCTTATATGTAAAATCACTTCTGCACTATATAACGTACACTATATGACGCAAATCATTTATTATTAAGTATCATCCTGTATGTGAGCCGTCGGCTAATATTCTATATATTTGATCATAAAAATGTACTAATTTCTACCTTTCCGATTTTTTGTCGCACGAAGTTGACATCCAAATTTGATGGCCAATCGGTTATACTGAAATGTAGATCATGTAGCAAAAAATAACTACAAACCCATAATTATTTTTATACAACGGAATAATCCTTCGAACCTACCGCATCTATCGGAAGTGATCCTAGGACAGAAGTAACTTTTCTTTACACATTTCACACATAATATTTAGATGCGGCCTTTTCGGATGGTTTATAACCGCCACGTAGCAGGGTCCTAATTGCTTGGGAATCCCTATTCTCTATCTCATATATCTCACGAGAAACTTGGCCTTGCTTTTTTTTACCAAACTTTCAATTACTAATCAAGCATAGAGCAAATACATGAACCTTTTGTTTTTCTGCTCCTTGTTTACAGCACACCTGTCCGACCCGTTTGCATTTACAGCATAAACCGTTTGTTATTTTCGCTTTCCATCGAAAGATACGTCATGAATACAATTATCTTTTTATCGACGGTGTGAAAAGGCATCGTGTGAGGCGAACTTCTCAAAACAGAATGTAGAAAACACGGTAATAATGGCGGTGTCTGGAATCGTGAAAGGCCCGATATTTTTTATGTTTTTTAATTAACGTAGCAAACTGCCTCGTTCAGCTGGACGAAAATTTTGAAACGACTAAAAGCGTTGGGGTGACAGGTTTCAACGGACGACCTTATAGTGTATGAGCAGCTCTTGTGACAAACATGATCACTCTTTTATCTAGGAGAAAAAAAGTCACAGCAGAATTAGCTAGGGTAGTCTCTTCTTACACTGACACTAAGCAAAGTCTATCAGCGGCGGTGATCAACGATATGTTATTGCATTATTAGCCCTGCTAGGATTAGGTAGATCGTGCCTCTTACCTATAGGTGAGGTTCATTTTTGACCAAGGATCACCGTGTACAATATATCGCTTTCTCCGTTTGACGCTTTCACGACCCCAATCAATATCACTCATACCGCATCTAGGTCGCGCCATCCGAGCTATTGTGGCCGCGTCCGCTTTCCCGGTGACTGGTAGATTCGCGAACCTTTGAAAGCGACGGATGGCGCGCGACAATGAATCTTCTGCTGAGTAGATATTGGACACGAAGGACCGCGCCGAAAAATCGTTATTTATATAGCCGAAACGTCGCAGATAGTTCTGAAAAGAAGAGAAAAAAATATGGCATTTTCAATTAACTCTTCTATTATTTATTCTATTATTAGTCGTTAAATTGACTACATCGATTTACTAAAAGCAATAGCTTTTACTGAAAGGTTATTTTAATTGCTTTTATAGGGAAAGACATATACAAAACTGCACGGGGGTGCTATGAATATTTAGGTCTAATATCAACGTATTTATATCTGCGTACGAACATTTCTCTAAGAACAGCCTGTGAGATGTTACAAATTGTCCTTGTATTATGCACTATTTTTGATTTTATCATCAAAATTGTAGCAAAAAATAAGTGCTTCCGCTGGGATGATTTTCGATATGGGTTCGCCGGTTGTGTCCGCTTCATGGGCAATACATGCAAAACATGAACAAATGTGACCTCGAAGTGGTTATTACAAAAAAAAAAAAACGAACGGAAAATAGTACAAATGAATCAGCTGGCGACATCAGTATATGACAACCCGAATAATTATAAATTGTGCCTACGTTCGCCAATGACCAATCAATATGTATATGTAAGTAAGCAGTTAAAACATCTAATCAGAAATTATCAGCTTCTTCGGCCATATTTCAATCAGTAATGTTTTCTCTTTTCGAGTTTACCTCATTCTATTGATACTCGTATTATGCGCGTCGGTAGTTAGAACCAGCGACGCCCTGAGCTTTAAATCTTTTTAAGCTCGTTTTAGTTTTGAATCAAAACAAATTTCAATTCAACTACGAGCCTATATTTTTGTTACCCAAAAAACCATTAATAATAATAATAATAAAATATTCATGTACAATTGAGCAGTAGCCAGTGTTTTAGTGAATGATACTAGTCGTACTATTTCCTTTTTAATTTGTTATTTGCAAAACATCGTTTCCGTTGGTCTAGTGAACCACCACGTTCCGATTCTTACTAATACTATGTACACTCTGTGATTGTTTGTTATAAGATTGACCAATCTCTGTTATCGTCAAACATTCACTTTCAATTTCAATGAGAATTCGTTCTTTGCTTACTGCTCTATCATCGGGACCCTTTTATTGGATAAACTACTCTGTCACCTTACGCGCCGCAATGCCTATTTATAGGAGTTCCATATTGGCGTCAAATCATGGTTTCTGTATTTCAATAGCTTTCTCAGCATAACCCTATTGTAGTTTCAGGCTGGCGAGCACGAATAATCTCTATAATCGGTGTTTTATGTAAGACATTCAATGGAGAATCGATGCCACAGTAAAAACCTATAAAAAAAAGCGTTATTCCTCTCCAGTGGGACGTAATACCTATAGTATTCGCTGTACTCTTGAATGGCAAACTGTTAATGTTGAAATAACAAATGCCTTTTTAATCAAACACAAAATATTGTCTTTTTTTTTTTTTTTTTTTTTGTTAACCTAGTGACCCCAAAACTCGTTCCGTGACCCATTCCATCATATGACGAGTTACCTCGAAAATAGCGCATAATAGAATGAGTTCGATAACTGACCAATTCCAGCGTTTTCTATAACATAGCGGGGGAAGACAGACTAGCGTACCCGTTACTCCGGGCTTTCTGTAAATGGCTGCTTTGTCCCTAACAGGATGGGGTCCGTGACTGCCAAATGGCGTGACGGCGATCAACGCCGCTTGCCTTTGGTATATTGCGCGGCATATATATTCATTTGGGACAAGGGGTTCGAGGGAGAACAGGGGAAAATGAGTTCACGTACGACGTGGGACAGCGCGTGCAGACAAAACTGAATAGAACTCCTCATCGCAGTACGAGGTTAGCTAGGCTTAGTATTGCTGCTGCTGCTGTTATGCCGATGTGTATAGACACATACATACAGCGACGCATCTATGGCGTCAGCAGGCGAGTGACTCGCACCACCGCTCAATCTTTGGGGGTAGCATTGATCGCTTCCGGATTCGTTTCCACCGTGCTTTTATTATTCGTTTGTTCATCCGATAGATTTGTTGCGATATGCAAGCGAGACAAACGCATCAAAAATCGGGATGCAGTTAAAATTTGCTGGCACTAATATTAGACAGGGCAGTCAGCTTCGTGTATAGGTAATCTTGTCTTTTACTTATTGCTCTTATTTATTTTTTTTTTTTCTATTGATGGTCAAGTGTTATGTACCGTTCGAGACCTATTTCTTTACCCTGTTAGGTTATTGTTTTGATAGGATCACAACGTTTTACGCGCATTTCGGATTCCAATGATAAGTGCGAAAAACACACTCCACTTGATTTTTTCGAATTCGTCACGGACCGCCTTGACCCACCTTGCAAGATGCTAATTGTTAGATAAACCCACATATTTTGCCTGTCAAGTTCTCCAGATATGCGAGGCAAGCATCCTAGAGTGCTTTAACGAACGGGAAATTAGGCAAATGCCAAAAATTCTGTCCTTTACTGCCTTACGTAACCATCTCTAGAGCCCGAAGTAAAAGCAAACCGTACGATCTGGGCTAACCTATGATAGCGATGCATGAACGAACGTTCCAGCACTTAGCCATCAACAAAACGTGGACAAGACAACAACCAAGGACGTGATTCTAAGGACTTAAACCTTACAAAAAGAAAATCAATCCGAATAATATAATAAAAAACTTTGATAAATTAATGAGCGTATATGCGGCCATTACTCAAGATTTACGAACACTAAAAGCTACTCGATAGCTTTCTTAAGACAAACTTGTAAACAACAAACTGGTCAAAAACTATGAATGGACAGAAAGAAGCGTGTTAGAGGTAGTTCGTCGAACAGCATATTTCTTCATAATTTTGTTTACTTATTAGTCAAGACGTAGTTCGGACATACGCAAGACGAGCACGTTATAGGACAATCGTCTCAAACAACAAATTCTGCGTAACAATTCTAACAAAACACGCTTCGTCCTTTCTATCTAACGCTAAGCACACTTGTAGCCCTTCCCGGTTTCGCTGTAAAGTAGCGCAACAAAACGCCTCCGTCTCCATTTGCCTCTCCAGAAATCATCGACTGGCAAGATGTCGAAACTCACTTTCTCCCTTGCACTGATAACACACAGAAAAATATTTTGCAAGCGTCTTTTCGTACTAGCATTTGAGCGAACTAACTTTTTGTTTCCTAATAAAATACCGATATATATCGTTATTGTTGTTATTGCACGTCACATTATAAGGTATATTATATGAAGTATAGCAGTATACGACAAACTGAGTCTGTCGGTCTCAGGGAAATAGATACGAAGTTAATAGAACCATTGAAACTAAGTAATATTTCTTGGGATATGAGTGTATAGAAAGTTGCTATGTAGCGTGAAAAGCAGACTAAGAAGCGTTGACTTATTTCGACCTCGACGGCTGAACCTAATTTTTTGCTCAAAGGATAAATATATATATAAGTGTGTAATTTCATAGCCTTTATAGTATTGTTTACCACGCCAAAGCGCTGCCGCCATCAATATTGCTATTTGTTCCTAAGTGAAAGCGAATAATGAGCACCGTCTGATCGCCTTTTCCACTCATACCTTTAGCTCACGTCCTGTTAGTCCACTAGAAAATGAACATTACCTATGTGCTTTAATATAATTCGCTATGAGCAAAGCTCAAAACAGTGCACACGCACACACTGTCAAAAGAACTACAGTTGTTTACAATGACATGGACATTTAGCATCGTCACGTAATATATGCCATGGGGAAACCCCGTGACGTCACATCATTGTCGGTGAGATCACCTACCTAGGCTACACCCTAGCTTATTTTTTTCGGCAGGATTTCTTTCAGCAGCCACAACGGCAATGTTGGTGGCAATACAACGGTACAGGTGGCAGGTCTGCACTTCCTTGAGGATGTACAAAACACGTCATTTTGCAAAAACTTTCAGCCCGTAATGAATAAGGGGCAGTCCAGGAGCCGCCTCAGCGTATCTCATCTGGTTCGCCAAAAACTGTGTTGCTTTCAATGGCTCTCAATGGTGACGCAACCCTTGTTTCACTAAACTGATACCTGGTAAAAAGATTAATGTGTTTCGTTTCCACAAAGACAGATAGCAGCGGCATCTTCGTTAGTTTTCCGTTTGTAATGCTGCCCAATCATTTGCCTATTGTAGTTACGTTTAACTTAAATGAAACATCATTCTTATGTATGTAAGTTTCGGTTTACCGCTAGGAACTTCTAAAATACATTGGGGCAACCAACCTATGGTGCGCTTGTCAATGCAATTCAGAACTTCGAAACGCGTCTATCGAAAGCATAGAGGACAGAGGGCTATTAATACAAGTGACAAACGAGAGTTTTTATTCGAATAATGGAATAATAAGTGGGCTTGAAACTCATCATAACAATTAATATTGTGCTAACAAATCAGAAAATAACTAAAAATAAGGTAACTTATTATTACTAAGTAGTTATATATCATCAAAGGATATGGACGTAAAGTAGCCACTGATCACAAATCTACTAACTTAGACAGGGTATAGATACGTTAGGGTGGTTTACTATCTACTGTTTTGGTGATTTTGTTGAACAACGGAATGCTCGTACCCATAACACGCATTCAACTAATTAGTAGCTAGCGTTTAGATGATACCCGAAATACATCGACGACCTGCGACAATCTGTCAAATTCAAGACAGAAATCTCCCGTCCAAATCGGCTTACGTCGTTCAGATACACGTCAACCAGAATCGTTCACGTGTTAGTATGAATTTTTTTACCTTTATGTTGTTGTTCTACACGTTATTCGTATTAGTAACGTGTAGACGACCAGCGAAATAGCGGTATCTAGAGATTTTTAGCCAAAAGCTGCTTCTATTAGTTACGCTTCAAGAATATAATTCAAAATATGGCTTAGTATAGCGCACAAAATTAGTCCAGGGCTACAGGCACTGGGGAATTGGGAAGGGGACAAATATATTTCAAATTTTATGGTAGAGCTGTCGCGACGCGCTTAACCACGTGGACAGACCGACACGTGCTACAATACTTAACTACAGGAGTAAACACAGAGTGTCCTGGCACGA